TGGGCAAGGGCTCCGGCCGCGCTGCCCAAGTCACAGAAGGCAGAGGGGGTCGGGGAGGAGGGAGACCTGCCCACGGTAAGTGAAGATCAGGTTGAGACCACGCAAAGGACCTTGCACAAGACCATGGGACCCGATGACATCCACAGCTCTTCCCTTGAGAACTGGTGGGTGAAGTTGCCGAGCTTGTCCATCGCATTGGAAAGGCCGTGGCAGTGAGGTGAAGTTCCTGATGACCGGAAAAGGGGGAACCCCCATTTTCAAAAAGGGGAAAGGGAAGACCCAGGAACCTCTCGGCCAGTGTCACCTCTGTGCCTGGCAGGATCATGGAGCGGATCCTCCTGAAGGCGCTCCTAAGGCACAGGGAAAATGAGGGTGCGGTGATTGGTGGTAACCAACACAGCTTCACCGGGGCAAATCGTGCCTCACCAGTCTGGTGACCTTTTATGATGGAGTTACAGCTTCGGTGGATAAGGGAAGAGCAACTGAGTCATCTGCCTGGACTTGTGCAGAGCATTCGAACCTGTCCCACACGACATCGGGTCATGAAACTGGAGAAGCGTGGGTCTGACGGATGGGCCACTCACTGCATGAGGAATTGGCTGGATGGTGGCACTCAGAGAGTTGTGGTCAACAGCTCAATGTCCAAATGGAGAGCAGTGGTGAGCTGTGTTCCCCGGGGATTGCTGCTGGGACCGGTACTGATTGACATCTTTGTCAGAGACGTGGGCAGTGGAATCGAGTGCACCCTCAGCAAGTTTGGGATGACACCGAGCTGGGTGGTGTGGTGACACCGGGAGGGGAGGGAAGGGATCCATGCAGGGGGACCTGGACAGGCTGGAGAGGTGGGCCCATACCAACCTCATGGAGTTCAACAAGGCCCAGGGCAGGGTCCTGCACCTGGACAGGGGCAATCCCCAGCACAAACCCAGGCTGGGGGAGAATGGATGAGAGCAGTCCTGAGGAGGACTGGGGGTGTTGGGTGATGAGAAACTCAACATGAGCCAAAACCGGGCGCGTGCAGCCCAGAAACCAACCCCATCCTGGGCTGCACCACAAGCAGCGTGGCCAGCAGGGCCAGGGAGGGGATTGTGCCCCTCTGCTCTGCTCTGGTCAGACCCCACCTGCAGCGCTGGGTCCAGTTCTGGAGACCCCACTGTAAGAAGGCCATGGAGCTGTGGGAGAGGGACCAGAGGAGGCCACAGAGATGCTCAGGGGCTGGAGCAGCTCTGCTATGAGGACCAACTGAGAGAGCTGGGGCTGTTCAGCCTGGACAAGAGAAGGCTCTGGGGGGACCTTACAGTGACCTTCCAGGACCTGAAGGGGCTGCAGGAAAACTGGGGAGGGACTTTTTTACAAGGGATGCAGTGATGGGATGAGGGGGAATGGTTTTAATCTGGAAGAGGGCAGATTTAGACTGGATATTGGGCAGAAATTCCTCCCTGTGAGGTGGTGAGGCCCTGGCCCAGGTTGCCCAGAGAAGCTGTGGGTGCCCCCTCCCTGGCAGTGCCCAAGGCCAGGTTGGACGGGGCTTGGAGCAGCCTGGGCTGGTGGAGGTGTCCCTGCCCATGGGGGCTGGGCTGGGGGGCTTTGGGGTCCCTTCCCACCCAAACCCCGCTGTGATTCTGTGATTCTATGAGAAGCCCCAGGTACAAATCAACACCTACGCCCTTGGGCTTCCACACCAAAGGTGCCAGCACTGAAAGCTGTGGCTACGCCTGACCTGCCTTAGGGAAGCGCCTCCACAGCCCCACCAACCCCGGGACTCTGTGCTCGCTCCACACCCACACCAGGCCCCAGCTCCAACACAGACCCCAAACAGACCCCGCTGAGCAGTGCAAGGGGCACATGGGGTGGTACAGGCAGGGGTGCAAGGGCTGGGCCCTGCCTTGCTGCACTCATGAGGAGCTGGGTCACCCCCCAGGCCAGGCACTGGGATCACCCTGGAGCCGGACACCCAAATCACCCCACCCAAACTGGAAATGTGCTGAACTGGGAGTCTTAACAGAGCTGTGCACACCCAAACTGGGAGCCATGACCCCCCCACTTCCATAACTGGAGCCACCAAGATGACCCCCAGAGCTGTCCCCAAGCTGGGACCACTGGGATCTCCCAGTGTCCTCAATGCCCCCTGCTGACACAAGACACCCCAACGTGGGGGGCACCCCCATACTGGCAGGGGGGGTGGTACAGCCCCACAGCTTGGGGTTGAAGGAATGTGCCCCCTTTCCCATTTGCACCACTCGGGCCTGCAGCTGTTCACTCTGGACCCTACTGAGGAACTGGTGTCCCCACTGCCCTCCAGCCCCACCACCCACCCCCGAGAGAGAAAGGGGCCACTGTGGTTTAACTCGTTTTATTTAGACTCATCAAGGAAACTGCAGCCCAGCTGGGCCGTGCACTTGGGGCTGAGACCCCGTAGAAACGCAGCTGTAAGTCAGGAGTGGGATGGGACAGGGGGAGCTGCAGCAGGGGCTGCCCAAGGAATGGTCACTGGTGCAAAGGAGGGTTTACGAGAGCTGCCCGCAGTCGGTAATGGTGATCTTCTTGCTGGTTTTGCCGTCTTTGGAGCCGCAGCGCTCCATGGCCTCCACCACGTTCATGCCCTCCTTGACACGGCCAAAGACAACATGCTTGCCATCCAACCTGCAGGAGAAGCATGGTCACAGCTGGCACCGGCCATCCCCAGACAGGGACCTCAGCACCAGGCCCCAGGTGCCACCCCCCGCAAGGGACCCCAACCCCTTCCTCACCACTCAGTCTTGGCAGTGCAGATGAAGAACTGGGAGCCATTTGTGTTGGGGCCAGCGTTGGCCATGGACAGGATGCCAGGGCCCGTGTGCTTCAGGATGAAGTTTTCATCAGGGAACTTCTCCCCGTAGATGGATTTGCCCCCAGTGCCGTTGTGGCGTGTGAAGTCGCCGCCCTGCAGAGAAGCGGCATTTCAGCTGACGGGTGCAGGAGCAGACCCTTGAAGCAGGCACAGCAGCCCTGCAGAGCCAGCAGGCAGAGCTGCACCCCCCCCAGATCTGCCACCACCCAACTCTGAAACCCACGTAAACGCTGTTATCTCCTCGGCCGCCCACCTCCCGGCTGCGGAAGGAGCGCCACGCACCTGGCACATGAACCCAGGAATGATTCTATGAAAGCAGGAGCCCTTGTAGCCGAATCCCTTCTCGCCAGTGCTGAGGGCACGGAAGTTTTCTGCGAAGGAAGAGGAAAACCCCTGTGAACAGCTCGGTTCGTCCAGAGTTAGGGAGACCACTGGGGTTTGGCACAGCCGCAGTGCAGGCAGTGCTGCTTTACCCACCTGCTGTCTTGGGGACCTTGTCTGCAAACAACTGCGGAAAGAGAAGAGGCTGTTAGTCAGGGTGGGTCAGACTGGCTCCCCCCCACCCCACAGGGATCCGCTCCCCTTGCTGCCCAGAGCCCAGGGATCCCCCTCCAGGAGGTAGATCCCGGCTGTGCTCAGGGCTGCAGAGCGTTCTCCACCTCCCGCTTTCAGCTGGAAACTCTGAACTAACAGACATGGCATCCAAACGAGTTTAAATATGCTGCACGTCTCAGCAGCAGGGCAGATGCGCATTCATTCCACTGGCCGGGATTAAATTAAAAACCGATTTGACTCGAAGACTCCCCAGGCGGAGCGCACGTCGCCTCCCCAGCGCTCCGGCAGGATTTCGGGCGGGCAGCAGCCATCTGCGCAGCGAG